TGAGGGGAGTCACTTGGATCAGTACACAAAGTTGTGGGAGTACTGTGATGAGCTTAGGAGGACAAACCCGGGTAGTACAGTTCAGATGAAGGTGCTGCCCTATGATGATGCTCATGTGATATTCCAGCGGATTTATATTTGTTTGGGGGCTTGCAAAAATGGATTTAAGAATGGATGTAGGCAGCTTGTAGGGTTGGATGGTTGTCACTTGAAGGGAGTGTTCAAGGGCCAGTTACTGTCTGCAGTGGGAATGGATGCAAATAACCAAACTTGGGTTATTGCATATGCTATAATAGAGCTCGAGAACAAGGACAGTTGGGTTTGGTTTCTGGAACTGCTAGCTGCTGACTTGGGAATTGTGAACCAACGTGCTTGGACTATCATTTCTGATAAACAAAAGGGTTTAATACCAACTTTTGAAAAGGTGCTGCCTAATTGTAATCATCGGTTCTGTGTTAGGCACTTATACACTAACTACAAGGCAGATAGGTTTCAAGGGAAAGGATTAAAAGATGTCTTGTGGAATGCTGCCAAGGCAACAACCATCGCTGATTTTAGGGAGAGTATGGCTGAGGTGAATAGGCTAAATGAAAAAGCTTATAAATGGTTGGAGAAGAGACCAGCCTTGCATTGGAGTAGGTCACACTTTGACACACACACTCAGTGTGACATTCTGTTAAACAACCTCTGTGAGAGCTTCAATTCTTTTATCCTAAGGTCTAGGGACAAGCCTATTATTACCATGCTGGAAACTATAAGAGTTTTATTGATGAAGAGGATATGGTTGAGAAGAGATGCAATGAGGAAGGATAAATGAGCTATCTGCCCAAAAATCCAGAAGAAGTTGGAGGAGTACAAACTGAAAAGCTCACACACTGTAGCTACATGGTCTGGAGGAGAAAAATTTGAAGTGGATGAAGGCAGAGGCAATGTATTTGTGGTGGATTTGAATGGGTGCACTTGCTCATGCAGAAGATGGGATTTGACAGGCTTTCCTTGCATTCATGGTTGCTCGGCCATCTATTACGCAAGGAGACAGCCTGAGGAATTTATTTCCTCTTGGTACAAGAAGGAGAAGTACTTTGAAGTTTACGAAAACTTGATTCAACCCGTCCAAGGCATGAAATTTTGGGAGCCATCTGAAAACAAATGCATTCTGCCTCCAACTTTTAAAGGCAGTCGGGGAGACCAAAAAAGAGGAGACATAGGGAGGCTGATGAAAATGAATTCAAGTTAAGCAAGAGAGGGCAAAAAAGTGTGAAATGTAGTGTTTGCAAGGCCTCGGGACACAACAATGCCATATGGGCTCATCCTCCTCCAGCTGCTAGAAAAGGAAGAAAAAGCAAGAAAAATAAGGTATAATTTTGATATTTTTTGTTGATTTTTCATTTCTTAAGTGAATTTGTTATTTGTGAAGTGTACTATCTGTCAGTGCTAATGCTATATGGGTTAATTACTTAGGCCTCAACATCTAAGGCATCACAACCCTCTCAGTCATCTCAGCCATGCACTCAGGAAGCTCCACAACCTTCATCTCAGCCAACTCAAGCCTCTCAAACCATTTCAAAGTCTACTGCAAGAGGTCAGAAAAGGAGGAGGAATGTTCCATGATGCTGCTTTAATGCTTTAGGTTGTTTAAGGGTTCATTTTGTTATAGTTGAATATGCCCTTAGTGTTTTGGACAGTTTTTTGGACAGATCTTTAGTGTTTTTGGAAGAACACCTTGACTTTGCAGATTTGGAACTTTGTTGTGAATTGGATGGTGTATATTGAACTTTGTTGTGAATTGAAAGTTGTTGAGAATTCAACTTTGTTGGTAGTTTAAATGATGAATTTGCATATTTAGAATTCAAAGTTTGTTTGGAATTGAATTTGCAGATTTGGAACAGAAAGTTGTGGTATTGCAGGGTGGTATTCAACTTTGTTGATTTTTTTTTTCAAAAAATTTTGGCGGGAAAAAAGTGTAAGGTGCATGGTTGTGGGAAAAAAAAATTTGGCGGGAATTTTTTTTTTTTTTATCTGAAACCCCTCTCTTACAAAAAAAAAACACGTGGACACACGTGGCGACCCACCTGGCACCCAGTCATTGGCCACATGGGCGCCACGTCACATTTAACTGAAGACTTAACAGTTTGACTAACGGATGTATGAGACTGTCCCAAAATTTACACTTTAGGTATGACTCTGAGACGAAAAAAACTTGATGTACTAAATGTTGAAAACCACTAAACTTGAGGGTAGTAAATAGTCTTTTACCCTTTTCCATAAATTCTCAATCTGATTCACCTACCTTTTCCTACAATTTTTTTTTTAGGAAAACTAATGAAAAGGGCTTAAAAACTTTGAGTTTTAACGATAAGGACAACATAAGGGGTGAAGTGAATAGTACCAGGATTGACTTTTTAGTGTAAAAATGTGGTTTTTCATTAAAATGAACAGTACCGGGAGCTTTTCGTTAAAATTCCCTCTTTTTTTTTTGCATTTAAACAGGAGGGAGTGTAGAGTTTTGGCTCGGGTCTTCACACTACCACCCTTGTTGACCTTTGTTGGTTCTTTCCAGTGTGCGCCTTTGTTGCGATGTTGCTCATCGGATCTCTTTTTTGACAACTTCCTTTGTTTCTTGGTGGCGTTCGTGTTGGTGGTCTGTGGAGGGAGGTGAAGAGGTTAATGAAGGTAGCCAATTTGGCGATACCAACCATCGATTCAATGGAGTAAGATGTGTCGAGGGTTGAAGCAAGTTCTTAGCAGTGTAGGTCTGAGGCGATGACGAATCGAGAACGACTGCAAAGGAAGGGGCCTGAATGACTGCAATCATAGATGGCTTCATATCCAGGTGAGACTTTATCCCTTATTTACCTTCCGTGGTCGGAGTTTGCATCATGTGTTGGCAAACACGCAAAGAAGAAACGAAATCCGTATCACTCGTAACATGATTGTCGAATCCTTCATAGTGGAGAACAAGCGTGAGTATCTTTGTCAACTCCAAAATAGCAGGTGTGGATTTCGTCGTCCCCAGTAAGTTCGGATCTAGAATGTTCATGGTTTAATTTGAAGGGACCCTCACCATTCGAAGCAACCGAAGTTCCTCCATAAAGGCTTCTTGTAAGGCAACTTGTTGGTTATTAAGTGATGTCATCGTCTTCCGGAATTCAACCATGCGGAACTAAAATTCCTTTTGCTTGCGAGTGATTTTGAAGTCATCCACCACGGTAATGGAATTTGCCGATGCCCTTCATGGAGTAGCAGCTAACGACGAAATCAAGCGATTTCGGCATCGTCGTCGGTAAATGCTCCCAAACGGAAGCTTCCTCTTCATCTTCACGAGGGAAACTACTGCAAGATTTTGTTGTGCTCGCACCGATTTAAGCAACGTTTTCGTATAAGTGTGGGGAAAATCTCTAACAGTGTTGAAGCCATTGTCAGGGGCAAGAGGTGCAACGATAGTGTCGAAATTGGAAACCCACGAATGTTGTTCAGATGACGATGATGGAGAGTAAATATAGGGATCATGAAAATTTGGGTTTGTGGCATAGGAATTAGGGATTTGAGAGATGTCGATGGAGTCAGAATACGTAACGGAATGTAGCGTGTGTGCGGGAGGAAAATGAGACTATTATATGTAAGAGCTATGAGAAGCGCATGCATATACGAGGCTGGGTAATCTGGCAGTCGATAAGCACAATTGGAGTAGGGAAATGTGGGCCTATACTCGTATGAAATTCGGTAGTGATCGTGAAGAGGATGAGGTGGTGGAGGCGGAGCCGAATTTAGATGTTCATACCGAGAAACATTGGTTTCTGGATTCCAATAGAACACCAGACTCATCCATCACACTTCTCCACGGTGCTGAAAGTGTGGGATCGACGGAGGCAAACCACAGATCCACGGTGGATCTCTGGCTCTGGTACCAATTGATAGGATCAGACATGATAAAAAGGGAAATTTCAAGAAAGTAAATGTAGAAATGGAAAAGAAATTAAAGTAAATTCATATATTCATATCTCCATATTAGAAAAGGGTTTAAGTACATCCAAAGATAAGCAGGGTTTGAAATCTAAATAGGCCTAATAGATAATAACAACAATAAATAATCCGCTTGATCTTATAGAAGCCCAATAGCTTAGAGTCACATTAGAAGGTTTCTGTGCGTCGTTCTGGGGGAACTATGGTTGCTGGGAAAGCAGCTACAGTAGCTGTGGATACTTAGGGTTTTTTATTTTTTATTTTTTATTTTGATATTTGTATGTGCTGGGCTCCAAAGTAGATTTTGGACTTGTGTGTTTTTGGGTCCATGTTTCTTTGTAATTAGTTTGTTTTTGGGCCTTTTGTGTGTATTGTTTTGGTGTTGGTAATAAAATTACCTTTTGATCCAAAAAAATAAAAAATAAAAAAGCTATGGCTTTTTAGCTAAATTGGTAACTTAGATTGTTATAACTCCTTAATTTTGTCCCTAACAATTAAAATCAATAGAATTGGTTCCGGAGTTTGTCTACCGCATATAAAAATCCGTTAAGCTTTCAGTTAGTTTGTTAATGTGGAACATGAGTGCTCCTACCAACTTAGTTCTTATAGAGCATGTCAGTGTCTGATTAAGCTAAATAAGTCTTTTTAGAATACAATACATACATTATACTTTTAATAATAATTATCGTTTTAATAAACTATCTTAAAATTTTGATTAAATACATTTTAAATTTCAGAAATTACTCAAAATTCTGGCTAAATACCTCTAAATTTATTAAAAGAATTAAAAATTTTCAAAATCTCAATTGAATACAGGCTCTAAATTCGGAGAACACAATGTTATTTTACCCTTGGCTAGAAAGATAATCCCTATATCCTTTTCTTCCTAAAGAACCTTACCTTATCCTATTTCATTCACAGAATGCCATGTCCACTAACCGCCCCTATATTACTCAAATTTACAAAAAAAACCATCCCATGCGACCTTGTCTTACAGCCATTTTCGTAAATAAGTTCAAATGCGAGCCCCTTTCATGACCACGCCTCCTAAACCCCATCGCTCCCAGCTCGAAAAACACACGGATACTGGAAAACTAAGAGACAACAATGGCCTGCCCTTCGCTCTTACGCTCCGCCACGTCGTCGTTTCACGGCCAATTCCCCGTTGCCGTTTCACCTCCGCCTTTACGACTTTCGTACGGAAACCCTAGGAATGTGGTGGTGCAGGTGAAGGCCGCGGAGGTGGTGCTGGTAGAGAGTCGGAGGCAGAAAAGGTCAGCCGGCTCAAAACCACTTACCTCGAAAGAATCATCCCTAAGCTCAAAGAAGAGTTCTCTTACACCAACATCCACGAGGTGAATAAAACCCACATTTTTAATTTTTAATTTTTTTACATTAATTTTGTCAATTTTTGTTGTTCTGGATATTGTTATTTTGATAATTAAATGGGTTATTTTTGTGGGAAAATGGATCAATGTGTTGCTTTTTTACCTCTAATTTTAGCAGAAGTTGTTTTGTTCTGGGTAAGCAATCGAATTTTTGATTTAGCTTCATTAAATTTCCATTTACTGACAGTACATTTAAGAACGAGTAGTGACAATGTGGTTCAGTTTTGATGTTATGATACAATTTTCTCAGTCGTGTGATACAATTTTCTCAATCATAACGACTCGGTTTTTCGTGTTAATACCTTCCGGGAGTGAGAATTTCCGTGTTATTGTGGTGATGAATTATCTATATTGATGAATTGGTTTGAGTGTAAAATAAAATCTTCTTTACCTTGAACTAAGGTTTCCGGGATGCATTATCCTTGTAAGCAATGGAAAGGCTGTTTCCTTGATATTCATATTGCTTTTGGTAGTTTTGTTATTCCGCCATGGGGTTCAGCGACTTAATAGTGTTATGCAATGTGGAACTTGGGTAGGTTCCGAAGATTGAGAAGATTGTGGTGAACTGTGGAATTGGAGATGCTCAACAGAATGCTAAGGGATTGGAAGCGGCAATGAATGACTTGGCACTCATTACAGGGCAGAGGCCCATCAAGACACGAGCAAAGGTTTCCCTTGCTACCTTCAAGATCAGGGAAGGCCAGCCACTTGGGATTGCTGTCACACTCAGAGGAAATGTGAGTTTGCTTTTCAACCCTAAAAGTGAATCTTATCTTCAGCATAGATACTTACAAGACTGTTTCTTTTTATTGCTCGTGAGCATGTCTATTAAGTTTGCTCTTCATGTTTCTTATCATTTCCAAGTTAATACTTGAAATTACGTTAATCACGACCCAAGATAACGCTTTAAATCACTTGGTGGCCCTTCTTGAAGTTCTCTATATTATGATGGTGACACAAGGCGCATATCCATTTTTATTCGTCTTTGTTTGGTATCATATTAAAATGCTCAATCGCAATTTAGTCTGTAAAACATATTGTTAAAGATGTGGTAGTATGGTCTATAAGGTGAGGTCTGATCATAGGCGAAGAGTGCCATTATTAACAGCGTGGAATTAATATTCTGAGGAGGTAGTATGATCAAGTTAGATGTGTTGGTGCATATAGTTGTTAGAGGCCACAGTCGTGGTGGCAAGTTGTGAACAGCAACTGCATTTGTAAGTTGTGCAGTAAATTGATGTTGCAATGGTGGGTGAAGGTGTTTACTGAAAGAGCATCCATGGTTTGTGTGCTGAGTCAATTTGGTGTTTGTAGCAACTCTGCATCGGTGATGGTGATGATGAGAAATAATTAAGTTGTTGCAATAAAAAAAAAATAGTTTGACGAGAAGCAAAATGTAGGTGAATCTTTTCTTTTTTCCTTCTATCCAAACATTTGGCATTGTTAGCATGTGCTTGAAGACCCATGCACTATAGTGGTCTTATATGTGCTTAAAGGATTTAACCAGTATTTCCTGCGTCAAACTCTTGAAAATGCGTATGTTTCTCTTATAAACCCAAATGCATCCAGTCTCATGCACTAAGCTTACTATTTGATTTTGTAGGTGATGTATGCATTCCTTGATCGTCTGATTAACCTGGGACTTCCTAGGACAAGGGATTTCCAAGGTCTAAACCCAAATAGTTTTGATGGAAATGGGAATTACGCCCTTGGAATCAAGGAACAGAGTGTGTTCCCGGAGATTCGGTTTGATCTTGGTAAGGGCAGGGGAATGGATGTTTGCATCAGAACAACTGCTAAAACAGACAAAGAAGCACAGACGCTTTTGGCTCAGATGGGGATGCCGTTCAGAGAGACCGGCCCAGCATCGGCGGTGCGCAAGAAGAAGCTCAAGTCTCACCATTTCAGTTCGAAGGGTGGAAGAGGACGAAGGTGAAAGTTTGGTGTCCGGAGAGGATGACATTTTGATGCTGTTTTGTAATTTTGCCGTGTTAAAACCACCACCAACAGTTGTTCTGTATGTTCAATGAAATTAATGTCAATTCTTGTTGTGTAAATTTTGCAGCTGTAAATCAGTTGCTCATTGGCTTAAAACAAATTAATTGTTTGATAATTTGTGTTTAATAAAGGAAAAATTAAATGGTGAAAAAGTATAATTCATGTCATTATCAAATAATAAAATAATTAGAATTAAGTATCTAAAACTCTCAATCATTTAATGCTATTTCAAATTGGCCTTAATTTTTTTAAATATTCGAAATAAGTACCCAATCTATTGAAATGCCACATTCGTTAATGTTGAGCCATATATTTTCATAGAGAAAATATATTAGCAAGTTTTATAAAAGATGGGGACACTTTATTAAAAAAAAAAAATAGTAGTCCAAAACGTGGACCGACTAGAAATAAGGTTCACATTATATATATCTTATATATATTATATATAAGGAGAGAAAAAATCTCAACAGCCCACAAACTGAAAAATAGAGTTATTGTCTATCCAGAATTCTCCTAAGCTCCCACGTTCTCAACACAATAAAGTGATGGCCTTCCTCAACTTCCCCACACCCTAAGAAAGTAGAACACGTTAAATGGAAGAAGTTAATAAAACATCTCCTTGCGTCTATAAAAAGGGGAGGGCACATGGAGAGCCGGTTGGGGGGGGGGTGGGGTGGAGGTAGGAGAGTGACAAGAAAACGGTGCATAAATTGAGAAGCACACGGAGAAGAAATCGACCAAAAAAAAAAAAAAAGACAAGCAGCAAAAGAAAGCGAAAAGGAACAGCAACAAGAAGCCAAAGAAAGAGAGAAAAAAGCTTAAAAAGGTATTACATTTTCATAATGGATTCTTGATTTTTTATTGGGAAGTTCCTGTCGTCTTTTGCAGAAAAAAAGGGAGGTTTCCTCTTCTTCTTGTTTGACCGAAGCAAAGAAGATGGTGGTGGAAACATGCACCACTAGTTCACACCGACCCCCCAAACCTGTCCTTGGGTTTCCTCCTTCTTCTTCTCCACCAATGGAGACATTTTCCCTATCCTTGTTGCTGTCAACTCTTCCAGCCACAGAGTGCTCCATCTTCTTCTCCACCATTGGAGACATTTGCCGTCTTTTCCGCCGATAGTAGCAAAGAAACCATCGTCTCTGCCACCAACAACGACCATGCTGTGACTTCTATGCCCAGCAAGTTCGTCTGTGCCGCTGCTGTCAATCCCATGAATTCGGCGGTCAATCCCATGAATTATTCGGGGTGGTCTAAACCACCTCGTGAAGTTCCAATCAAATCTAATCCTATAAAGTCAAATGACAATTGGAAGACTAAGCTCAAGCTCAAGGTGCACCAAAATTGGTGCAGCTATTGTCCATGTTCCACCTGCTCAATAGAACACTCATCAAGTCTCCTACGAGCACTAAGATGAAGCAAAGAAGAAACAATAGTCAACACTGTCATCTCAATCTCTTGCGGCAACTACTCTACGACACCAAGGATTGAAAAAATCATTATTTCATGAAGAAATAATGTGGAGATGACTCACGGAATTTGCATGCAAAAAGAAGATTGTGTTAGTCTCACATGAAAACAAAGACATGCAACAACTCCCATTGACTTCATAAAATTCTAAAAGCTTTGCCACATCCTCAGATAGCAGAAGATAGTTATCTTCCTGATTCCATGAAAAAGTCCTTTTTGGACTTGGAAATATCAAGAAGAAAAAAAGCTTGCTGTTAAATTTCCCAAGTCCATGAATTTTTTACTTTATCAAATAACTTGGGCCAAAATAAATGGGCAAAAGCCCAACGGTATGCTGGAGACACATTGAGTCTAACCAATACGAAGATAACGTGGACGGTGCCAAATTCATGCACGAAAATTATTCAAATACCGTGGATGTGAACCATCTCAAAGTACCAAACTCAATGGACTCACCACCTCAAATTGGTGAAACTCATGCCATGTATCAAATACCAAGTGGCATGAAACCGTATCAAATCCTAAATGGCACGAAGCCGTATCGAATCCTAAATGGCACGAAGCCGAAGAAAAGTCTCAAATGGCATGAAGCCATGTCAAAATTCAAATGGCACAAAGTCACGTCAAATCAAATGGCACAAAGCCGCTACAAATGGTACGAAGCAGTATCGAATATCAAATGGCATGAAGCTGCATTCTGCTCCTATGGCTTAAAGTCCTTGCCCACATGAGTTAAATCTGCACAAGGTTTCAAACGCTCCAATAGCTCAAAGTCCTCGTCCGCATGAGCTACAACTGCACAAGGCATCAAATGCTCAAATGGCTTAAAATCCTCACCCGCACGAGCTAAAATTGCATAAGGCGTCAAACGCTCCAATGGCTCAAAGTCCTCGCATGTACGAGCTTAAACTGCACAAGGCATCAAATGCTCCTTATTTGCACAAGCTGAAACTGCATAAGGCATCAAACCCCAACAAATACATAAGAAACTATGAGTGACTTGATCTCTCAACGAGGGTACGTAGGCAATCTAGGGTTCGACCTAGGTGTAGTTGCAAGATCAAACAAACACCCAAATCCCCAAGTTACGATTTATTCATATTGGAATAAAAGGTATTCCTTTCCTAAAAGAAGGGTTGTAATTAATAGGCGAATAGCCTAGAATGGGTCGAACTCAATTTAATAAAACCCTCTTCGAAAAAATGAACGAGTGTGAAATTGCGTCAAGTGAATTATTTGTTTGCATATTGTGTACAATTTTTGCTCAACAATTAAGTACTAATCATATCTGTTAAATTAAGCAGGGCTCACTTTGTCTCCAAAATTAACCTCCACCAACTAACAATCACGACCACCCCCATGATGCCATCAACTCTAATCCCACCATCTTATATAATCTATGTTTGAAAATCATATTTGAGACAACTAATATTAATGTTGACCACTCCCATGATGCCATCACATCATTAACTTCCATGACCTTCTTCTCCATGATGTGGGCGATGAAGGGTTCCGTATTATATAATCTATGTTTGAAAATCATATTTGAGACAACTAATATTAATGTTGACCATTATATACCTAATTAGTGGGGTTTGAATATAATCTATGTTTGAAAAAATAATTGTGGCTTAACGGATAAGACATTTTCAACCTGTTAGGTACTCGTTTGAAATGTTTAAAAAGATTACTCCGTATTCAATTATGATTTTGAGTGATTTTAATGAATCTAGGGGTATTCAATCAGGAATTTAAGTGATTATCTGAAATTCAATGTGTATTCAATCAGGATTTTAAGATAGTTTATGAAAATCCTTAGAAATCTAGGTGTATTCAATTAGGATTTTAAAGAAGTTCATAACATTCCAGGTGTATTTAATTAGAATTTGATTTTAAAGAGTTTGAAAAAGTTGAGGAATTATAGGGAATTTGAGAGATTTCGTAGTGTATTTTGAGTATCCACAAATCTCACATCTTCTTAAGAGATTTTGTAGGAATTGAATCAAAATTGTATAAAAATCCATTAAAATATCTCAAATTCTCAATTGAATACTCTTTTAAGATTAATTTATGGGGGTGTATTCAATTGAGAAATTAAGAGACTTTAATGGATTTATAAATCCATGGATTTTTATGGAGTTTAATTGATTTGAAGAGATTCCATATAAAATTTTGATTCAATTCCCTTGAAATCTCATAGGAAGAGGCGAGATTTCTAATTGAATACACCTAGAATGTTATAAACTTATTTAAAATCCTAATTGAATACATCCGGATTTCTAAGGATTTTAGTAAACCATCTTAAAATTCTAATTGAATACACCTTAAATTTCAGAGAATCACTTAAAATCCTGATTGAATACCCCTAGATTCATTAAAAGAATTAAAATCCCTCAAAATCTCAATTGAATACACCCCCTTAGAATGACAAAAAATTGGAGAGTTTAGGGACTTAATCCGAATAATTATTATTGATGCACAAAACCGGAGGGATCTTGGAACAACGTAAATCCGACCGTGAATTTGCAAGAAGTAAAGAACACAAGATGTATCGTGGTTCACCCCAATGTTTGGGCTACGTCTACACTGATGTTGATTGTATTTCTCTGTATGAATGTATGGATTACAAGCGTGAGGGGGAGTCCCCCAGAGAAAGAGAGGGTTTGAGAGAGCTCATCTGTGAGGATGAGAGCCTCTGTTTGGGGATGTAAGGCTTGAGGATTGTGAGAATGAGGGTGAGGAGTCCCTTTTATAGACTAAGGGCTCCTTACTTATTACATATTTGCCCCTTCATTTATTACATAATTACACTTGAGTCCCCGAGTATTTATACGAGGTCTAAATACGAAGGCCCTAAGTATGGTACAAACAGTAGTTCCCCAAGTTTTCAGTCAAGAGAGTCTTTTGGCTAGAGACTTGAAATTCAGTCCATGTGTGGGCCGAAGTAACTAGATGTTGTCTAGAACTGAATACTCGATATAAGGCGGTGCTCAATGTGAAATAATGCTCAACTAGAAGTAGCACATGTTACAAGGCTGCTCGGTTTGTGGCTTATGTTGCCTTGGTTGGCTTGGCTTGTGGCGTTGAAGGTGAGAGAGTCCATTTTATAGAGTAAGGGCTTGCTCCTCAATACATAAATGATGGGCTAGAGTTAATGCTCACGGCGAGGCGGTTGCTCAGCAGGCAGTGATACCATCTAATGATGGTGAGGGAGTCCCTTTTATAGAATAAGGGCTCGCTCCTCAATACATAAGTCATGGGCTAAGAGTTGATATTCGTGGCGAGGCGGTTGCTCAGCAAGCGGCGATGCTCTCTAATGATGGTGAAGGAGTCCCTTTTATAGAATAAGAGCTCATTCCTCAATACATAAGTGATGAGTTAGGAGTGATGCTCGCGACAAGGCGGTTGCTCAGCCGGCGGCGATGCTCTCTAATGAAGGTGAGAGAGTCCCTTTTATAAAATAAGGGCTCGCTCCTCAGTACATGAATAATGGGCTAGAAGTGATGCTTGTGGTGAGGCGGTTGCTCAGCTGGCGGCGATGCTCTCTAATGAAGGTGAGAGAGTCCCTTTTATAAAATAAGGGATAGCTCCTCAGTACATGAATAATGGGTGCTCTCTAATGAAAGTGAGGGAGTCCCTTTTATAGAATAATGGCTCGCTCCTCAATACATAAATAATGGGTTAAGTCCCCCAAGTATATTTCATGAGGCTCAGTTGTGGAAACCCAATATATGGTACATAGTGTAGTCCTCCAAGTCTTCAGTCAATAGAGTCTGTTGGCTGGAGACTTCAAATTCAATCCATGTATGGACTGAAGTGGAGGTTGTTCGGATGCAGTCTTTGTATACTCTACACTGAAGCTTTGTAGGTGAAGCTTTACAAGTGAAGCATTTGAAGCTGGAACTTTTGTAAATGAAGCATTTGAAGCTAATTGACATAAGTGGTGCTCATGAATGTTTATGTTGATTAACATGAGTGATGCTCATGGATGTTGACATGAGTGATGCTCATGGATGTTAACATGAGTGATTCTCATAAATGTTGACATGAATGATGGTCATAAATGTTTATGTATGATTGACATGAGTGATGCTCATGAATGTTTATGTATGATTGACATGAGTGATGCTCATGTATTAATTTTGAAGTACTGGACGTACTTTTGATCACCTAGTGGTTGATAATAGCAGTAGACTGTCGAATAATTTTGGAGTACTGGACGTACTTTTGATCACCTGGTTGGTGATAATAGCAGCAGGCTGCTGAATAATTTTGGAGTACTAGGTATACTTTTGATCACCTGGTTGGTGATAATAGCGGCAGACTGCCGAATAATTTTTTAGAGTATTGGATGTACTTTTGATCACCTGGTTGGTGATAAGAGAGGGCCTGACTCTTTTAGGCATATGGGCCTTCGCCCTCCATATAACATTCCAGCCCACTATTTTGGGCTTATGGGCTTGCCTTTTTTTTTTTTTGCCTTCTTTACACATCAGTATAACTATACAATAATTGCTCCAGTTTGTAGAAGACAACTTAATAAAATATTCATCAATGATAGTGGGTATGGGCTGTAAAGATAAGAATCTTTATCTTTATGGTTGTTTTCCATGAGTGCGGATGGATGATTGAGTGTGGCAGATTTGATAGTGGTGGAGTTTGGCCTCCCCTATAACAAACCTCATCATTTTCTCCAATTGTAGGAAATTATGGTCTGCTTTCTTTATTCCTTGTTTTTGCAGTGTCACCCATGTGCTACTCATCATCGAAAACAAGGTTTATGTCTTGAGACTTCCCTTTATTCCTTGCTTTTGCAGTGTTAGCCATGTGCTTTTTCTCTGTTTTTCTGCTTTGCTTTTGCTTTCTGTTGGTAGTGTTCGTTGAAGGTCCTGACTGCTGCGATCTGTGACTCTTCGCTCCTTTGTTTGCAGAAGGTCGAGGTCGGTGTGATTCAAAGCGAAGAATTTTAGGTCCCAAACATGCACATTTGTATCATTGCTTGCAGAGAAAAGAAGTTGTTTAGTAGGATCAGGATGGAAGAGAACACTAGAAACAACCCCTTTGTGGCCTTTAAAGTAATGAGTGCAAAAGATGCCATCAACATCCCAAACAATGACCTTCCTATCAGCTTCGGCAGTCGCAAGCAATCCACCAGACGGGTGACAAGACATTCCCATCACTGGCCCCTCATGACCCTTCCAAGAACGCACACACTTTAAGGTGAAGAGGTCCTCAATCTTAATTTGGCGACTGTGACCGGTGGAGAAGAACAGCCGGTTGTCGGGGCTGAAGGCCAAAGCGGTAATCTTATCTGAGTCGCCTTCAATGGTAGACCTAATCGAGGCGTTCGATGAATCTACGATCTTACTAGATTCATCGCATTTGCAGGTGATGAATGAGCCGTCGGATGAGACAGCGAAGAGACCGCCGGAGTAGAACTGCTGCAGAGATGGCACGCATCGGTAGTTCTTCTTCAAAGGTAGAGACTGGGGGCTGCGGCTGTTGGAACATGAGGATGATGTGGCAGTTTGTGGGAGTGATGGGTTTTCGCCACGTAGAGACTGGAGAGCCTCCAGGGTCCGACGGCTGGAGTTTGTTGTAGCCCATTTCTCTTTAAGTGCAGAACTTGCTTTTCGATTCTGAAACCATACTTCCACTTGGTGTGGGCGAAGATTCAACTGTTTAGCCAAAACAAGTTTTTGCTTAGGATTAAGAGTGTTGTGCTCTTTGAAGCTCTCTTCAAGAAAAGCCGATTGACTTTTAGAGAGCCTGAGTTTCTTCCGAGCTGACCCGTTCTCCTCGTCATCACTTGCTTTGTCGACGTCAACATCAAAATCTCTCTTGCTCAATCTTCCTCCATTTCTCATTCCAAAATCCATCTGAAACGATGAAACCGTGCTATTCAAAGATGACAGCTGAGCCGCCACATCTTCGGCCTCCTTAGCCGAGGCCAACACTCCCGGCATACGGTTCACATCCAAACCTATTCCCGGTCCATCTGATGAACCGGCCGGATCAGACACATCCAGATTATTAGTAAGCCATGGAAAGCGAAGCTGAGAAGAAAAGTGGCTACGAGGAACTGGAGCAGAAGGCAAAAGATTAAGCTGAAGAGGTGGATCTGATGAAATCCTACTTCTTCTTCTCTCCTCCTGATCATAAACTTCATAGGTGCTCTTTCTATTACTCTCATCCGATCTTACAGCACCGAAAGCAGCAGTCCCCATGCCCATGCAAAACCTTATATCCATGTTGCCGCCCATCTTTTAAGTTTTGTCGAGAAAAAGAGACGGCTTTGAAGCATCCCCTAAGCTCAGAGCTAGCTCCATTTTTAGTTGTGGCTGAATAATATTTGGTGGAAAGGGAAACGATGAGAGGGGCATAAAAAGAAGCCAAAGGGTAAAACACTAGCGGTAGTCTTCCAATCTAAAATCTTCTGTTTTTATTGTGTAAACTGTAAACACAGGGGGAGAGAGAGGAGTGAGAGAGAAGGAAGGAGAGAGAGATTGTGTCTCTGTGTGGGTTTTGCAGATCCACGGTAGAGCGTGGTGAGGTTTCACGGTGGGGAGATGAAAAAATGAAAGAGAACCGACATAGCTTTTCGTGTCGTTTCCCACAGACGACACTAAATGTTGATGCACAAAATCGGAGGGGTCTTGGAACAACGTAAATCCGATCGTGAATCTGCAAGAAGTAAAGAACACAAGATGTATCGTGGTTCACCCCGATGTTTGGGCTACGTCCACACTGATGTTGATTGTATTTCTCTGTATGAATGTATGGATTACAAGCGTGAGGGGGAGTCCCCCAAGAGAAAGAGAGGGTTTGAGAGAGCTCATATGTGAGGATGAGAGCTTTGAATATGAGAGCTTCTGTTTGGGGATGTGAGGCTTGAGGATTGTGAGGGTGAAGAGTCTCTTTTATGGACTAAGGGCTCCTCACTTATTACATATTTGCTCATTCATTTATTACATAATTACACTTGAGTCCCCCGAGTATTTATACGAGGTCTAAATACGGAGGCCCTAAGTATGGTACAAACAATTATTATCAAAGATTAAAAGTTTAAAATATCCCTAAATCCTAATCAAATTTATCGATGAAGAAATAAACAGGTGTCATCTACCAACAAACTAGATAATGACGTTGATTCCCATCAGAATAATTTTGTCACATGTTTTGTATCATTGCCAACCCTCGACGAAGCTTCACTTTAATCGTCAGGCCATTGATACGATTGCTTAAAAATCAAGCTACAGAAAGGAGTATTTTTTATAAAAAAAAATTCAACATTCTATCTGCTGGAATAATTGATTAAATTATTACATTGATTATGCTCAATTAGTTTTGAATGATGTGGGGTTCCAACTTCCGTATATGTTTAGGTAAACGACTTATAAATTTCAAGAAAAAAAAAGTTCACGAGCCAAAGTAGAATCAACTTTAAATGAAATAAAATACCGAATTTTGAGTTAGAAAAAACAAAATAAAATTAAAATGAAATTTTAAGGAGCGTAATTAAGAATAAGCATAATAAATAATTCCGTTTGGTTGGAAGAGATTCGAGAAACGCATTGTTCTAAATTCTAATCGGCTTGATTATAAAGCGTAGCACAAACTACAATTTTCCCACCATAAATTAAAACCCTGATCTTCTCTGCAGAGTTAGGCAAATCAGGATAAACCACAAAACCAAAACCAAAGCTTTGAAAGAAAAGATGGGCACTAATCTGATAGCATTCGGAGGCGGTGGAGGAATAGCAGTAGGCGGAGGAGTGAGAGTTTCAATGGCGACACCGTGGGCTGTGAGAGCAGAACTCCCCAAAGCTCCTGACCTGTGCGTTGACCGCTCCATTCTGGGAAGTGGGTCTTCCTCGTCTGGCCGTCATGACCTCGTTTTCGTCGTCAATCCTAGCAGTCTCTCTCTCTCTCTCTCTCTCTCTCTCTCTCTCTCTCTCTGTGTTTTTATGAGATTTGTGGATTATTGAAATGGGAAATCGGAGCAGGTGCGAATGGGAGGACAGGGAAGGAGTGGAAGAAGCTGCTTCCATATCTAAGGTCTCGCCTTGGTGCTGATTGCAACGTGAGTTTCTTACCAATTTTCCTTTCTTTGGTTTCCTACCATTTGTTTATTTTTTCCAATTTTCCTTCTAACTAATTCCATGGAGGTTGATGATTCGTACCCATTAATTTTATGTTAATTTTGGGTTTACATGCATTGCTTGTATTAATTTGCATTAATTTATCTTGCTTGGCAAGAAAAATGGAAATCCTATGTTATCTTAGATCATAGGTTTTTTTGGGTCAAAATCTTAGATCATATGTGTATATCCATGAAACTCATGCCCTGGGAATCATTTTCAATGTTTGTCCCAAGTGCTGTGCGGTTTGAAATTTCTTCGCTTTTTGCTTCAATCTTTGGGTCTTGCTGGTACACCACAAGTTTTAACCAATCACTTTACCAATACTATTCACCACACTTGTGTGTATTTTGTAAATTTGTAGAACTGCTAAATGCATCTTAACTTTAGAGGCTTGCAGCGGATTTGGTGATCGTATGTGTGTGTTTGTGTTTCGCTCGTTTATTTGAGCTTATCTAATTCACTTGTTTATGTTATGGGCAGATATGTGAATCTTTAACATCAGGCCCGTCTCATGCAATTGACATAACGAGGGAGGTGGGATTTGGTGCTTCTATTATTTGAGCCTGACATGAATCCAGTTTCTCTAATGGAAGATTGATTTAATATGGCTTCTACAATTCTTATGGTTTGCAGGCTATACGTGAGGGAGCTGATGCTGTAATCGCAGTGGGAGGAGATGGAACTCTGCATGAGGTGAAATTTTCTCTAAGATCATAATTTCCATTGAAAGATGGTGTCATTTAGAGTCAATCACATTTTACCTCCTTCCCTGGGTCCTTCATATTCTGCAATTGACTTTTGCTGATAAGGTTTTTTTACCGTTTACCTTCTTTATGATGAGGCATTTTGTCTGTTGCGGAGATAGTTAAATAAATTACAATTATTAACCCTTGTATTTAAAAAGTTTATATGAAAGTGTCTGATATTAATAACCTGCAATATTGAGCAGTGTTGCTAATTTAATAGTAATTGATAATAGTCTCACTCGTCTGCATTGGCTTATGATAAACAGGTTGTTAATGGATTCTTTTGGGCAGGAAAAACTGTTACTAATTATGATAGGGATGCCACCCATTCAACTGCACTTGGTGTAAGTGATTACTATGAGAGTCTAATAATCTCAGTTTCAAATTGGTTATTGTTCTATATAAAGCTAACTTCAGTGATTGCGTATGACGAGTTGATCCCTTAACTGCCTGGTTTGGATGTTTTGGATTTTTGAAGGGAAGATATAATTTATTTTGTGCTTTTTACAGCTCATTCCTTTGGGGACTGGATCCGATTTTGCCAGAACATTTGGCTGGTTAGCTCATGTGTTTCCAGTCAGTGATCATTTTATGTCAGTTTTCTATGTATACACTTGTTTTAGATTGTTGACTGTCTGTTGTTTTATCAGGAAAAATGATCCCCATGAAGCCATTGACCGTATAGCCAAAGGTTATCTCTCTCTCTCTCTTGATTGCTTAGGTAGTTAGGCGTAGTTAATTTGTTCTTTTTATTGTAAATTTTTGTTCGCTTTCTGTTTTGCACTTAGTTGGTCATTTATAATATTGTCTTCTGCAGGGCAGAGATCACAGATTGATGTTGGTGTTATTAGTGGAGAAGATGGAGAACCTCATTACTTTGCTAATGTTGCTGACATTCATTTGTAAGGTTAACTTAGAAATTTTGACAAATTAACATCAAGAAAGGCAGATGTCGATCTTAGTAAGTCATATTGCCATTTTTTTGGGGATATGTTGCAGGAGTGCAAAAGCAGGATTCTATGCTTCTAGTTATAAGAGATTTGGAAACTTGTGCTACGTTATTGGTTCATTAAAAGCTTTTGTTGGGCACTGTAATCAGGACCTTAAAATTAAGGTCAATATTTGTAATATTGAGCACTAATAGTCTGTACGTCACACGCATGCAATTTCCCCTCTTGTACCTTTTGTTTTGCTTAATAGAATGTTTTTTGTTTAGGTCAATGAAGGGGAGTGGGAAGTATACTCTCAAGTAACTGCCGTTTGTGTTGGAAATGCAAAATACTTTGGTGGTGGTATGAAAATTACACCAAATGCTGACCCTCGCAGCGGCAATTTTGAGGTTTCTGCACTTAACCTTCCTAACTATTTGCAATAATTTTTTTTTGCTTTAAAAAGAAACTTTATACATTGCAGTGTCTTTGCCAGTACATTTGATCTTTGTTATAAACTTTCTTAGCAGGTTGTGATCCTTCAAGACTTCAAGTGGTATGACTTTATTCTGAAGCTACATAAGCTCTACAATGGGATGCATCTAACAATGAAAAATGTATCTTCAAGAAGGTAGGCCTTACTAGGTCGAGTTGCATTACATTACACAATAACTTACTCCTCCTGTTTATGTCTCTCTCTCTCTCTCTCTCTCTCTCTCTCTCTCTCTCTCTCACTGCTTGTTTCATCACATCAGCATGCATAACGTGAGGAATCAAATGCTTTGAATTGGTTGCCCAAGAGTTAATTCATCTGCAGCTATTACATGTAGCAATTTGTCTTTGGATCCCATTTATGTATGTTTGTTCTTTTTGCAGCGTGCATTCTATTGAGGTGGAAGACATTTCAGGCAGTGGCAGCATTTATGTTCAATCTGACGGCGAACGTATAGGATTCCTGCCTAGGAAGTTTTGTATATTACCTTCTGCAATCGAAATGATATGCTGAAGTGAACTGTGGAACTTGTACCAGGTGCCTTATCGAAGAAATTGAAGAGTGTGCAGATGAAGCAAGCTATGCATCAGTTCAGCTGCTGGAAAGAAAATGAACCGGAAGGTTTTTTCTCATCAAATAATCAATCAGACAGAGAGTACAGCTTTATTTATACATACAAGCGACTAACATAACTGAAGCTCGCAAATTGTAATAGAATCGCAGCTCGTAAACTGATCACGCACTTCTAACTATTCTTGCAATCTCCAGCATAGTCAAACCGAAGCAGCTGAATCCGATCCAGTGTATGCTGGTGTGTTGTATAATCTTCCGTTTTCCAGCTTTGCTAGTTTTCCTGTATGTTTTCCAGCTTTGATTGCATCGACTTGTTTGGTAATTGTAAAATAGCAAAGCCTCAAAGGAGACTGAATCTTAGGTGCTGCCACCTTTTGTGCCTATCTCTCTCGTCATCTGATGTGTCACATGAGGAGAAAGATGGGCACGATGGAGTATACACCCGGTGCTAAGTTTTGTTTCAAGTACAGTAAATTTTCAGAAGTGGTGTTGCTTTGAAATTTTAATTATTAAATCGAATTAAGATATTAAGCAGACAATAAGCCGTTTAAAAAGTTATAACCAATTATTATGGGTTCATTAACTTCATTTTCTCTCTTATTCTGATTTAATAAAAAATTTATAACCGGCTTTATTTGTTCGTATTTCTTTTTTTCTAAATTATTTATGGCCGCCATTCACTGAGGTCTTTAGATAATAAGCGACTTCTGTACAAACTTCACAGAACTCAAATATAAACCACCAATTCTTTCTCTCTCTCTCTCTCCTCTCTCTCTCTCTCTAAAATGGCGCATAGTTTCTCCTACGCTTCCATTCCTCAGGGCCTCACCGCCCAACCCCAACACCAACACCACCTCAGTTTCCCGCCAAACCCTCCTCACAACGTCTACAGATTTCGTTGCAGAGCAGAAAACCGAACAACTAACTCCCCAACCGACAAAGAATCTCAACCTCAAAACGCACTGCTTAAGGTGGCCTGGTACAGCTCCGAGCTTCTTGGAATTGCCACGTCGTTTTTTCGGCCACCGTCTGCTTCCGAACCTCCTCCTGGTCCCGCCCTCGAGCTTGGAAGAGACGGGTCGGGAGCGGTTGATCGTGCGGTGGTAGTTAAATCCATCAAAGAAGACTTTGAGAGATCATACTTTGTCACAGGTTTTCTCAGAGCCCAGTTGGATTTCATTGGCCTCTCTCTTTCTTTCTCTTGTGTGTTTCTTAATGTTGGGTTCGTTGATCCGAATCCGATAACCCGCTAACTTAACAACGTTTGGTTGCCAGGGAACCTTAGGCTTGATGCATATGAGGAGGATTGTGAGTTTGCTGATCCAGCAACTTCGTTCAGAGGCCTGCAGCGTTTCAAGAGGAACTGCACAAATTTTGGATCACTTTTAGTCAAGTCAAATATGAAGCTCATGAAGTGGGAAGATTTTGAGGTAATTCACATCACCGTATACAAATTCCGCGTTAAAACGCTTTGTATGTTAGAAAAACTTGTAAGTGTTTTTGAATTATAAAATCATATTCAGTAATATCGAGGAAGTCCTTGATGCTTTCAGTAAAAACGTTTACGAGCACAAGTGTTTTCTATAAATCTATGATTAAATTTTAATTAATTATTTGGTCACACAGAATAAAGGAATTGGTCACTGGAGATTTAGTTGTATCTTGACATTCCCTTGGAGGCCCATTCTATCTGGTATGCTTTTAGCTTCAAGCCTATTGAGCTCTAAAATCCTCATAACTTGTCCACATAACAAAACCTTTCGTTTAACTAGTTTCTCCTTCTTTTTCATTAAGTTAGTTTCAATTAGCTGCATCATCACCTGGAGACACCAATCCACTCACGTTATGAATTTGTCTCCCGCTCGTATTATAACACGTGAAACAGTAACACCACCTCTATTAGTATTTGACTGTTGAGCAATGTTGCAGCGAGTGGATACACAGAGTATTACTTTGATGAAGTGTCAGGAAAAGTGTGCAGGTAACTTAAACAATGTAACTTTTTTCTATCTTTCCAACATTGTGACAGATAATTGAAGTGAATGTTTATGGAAATTTTCAGGCATGTAGAGCACTGGAATGTTCCTAAAATGGTTCTACTGAAGCAAATTCTAAAGCCGAGTCGTAGGTTTTGGCCTAAGAAATCAGGTGGTTGAAGGTGATTAGTATTGCTAATTGTGGAAAATTACGATTACATTGAATCATACTCCAAACATGGAAAGGGAGGTCATGACTGACAAGCTATGGCCAATTTCTCAAAATTATGATCAGCACTTTGATGGTTTATGTGCTGGTAACTTAATTTTAAGGATAACTGCACGCATATTAAAAAATCGATAGCTGTATCCTTGGTTCGACAGCCTTCATCGAACTACAAGCATGTGAGTGGGAGCGAAATCTATCTGAGATTGCATGACAAGAGTGTACTTTGTATGATTCACTCATTTAATAAAGTTATACACAATTATGTTTGTATTCGTCAACAATATCATAAATTACTTGTATGAAATGAGTTCATTACTATTAATGTGGCGTCTATTTAATACTCATTGTTTTAAAAATCCTCACCTAGCGCCGCCTAGGAGCTAGGTGGCTGGCAACCTCCTAAGCATTCACCCATATCCATCTAGGCATCCATTTTGATCGTGACTCTCACTTAACAAAAAAATATACTTTCATTTTGCATTTTTTTAACTAAATTGTAAGAGACTTGTTGAATACTTAGATAAACACACATTATAGGCTTATTCCTCATGTTTCATTATGTTCTAATATTTTATACTCAATATGCCATTCTATTTTGCAATTATGTATTTTTTTACTATTAGCACACTTATTTATACGATATATAATATATTTACTTAAATCCACCTAGCCCCCGCCTAAGTGTTAGACCTCAACCCACCATTCGACTAGCGCCCAACGTCTTTTAGAACCTTACTAATACTATAATGTCATGTGTAAGTTTCACTCTAGATGTGTTGACCCTAAAAACTACCAAGCCTACGTGGCGTGCAGGCCGAGTAATCTAAGCTAACTACGTCCTTCGATGAATGCAGGGCGTGCCAACTCGTCGGCCGAGGAGTAAATTTGTTGATGTTGCGTTGGGTGCGCGGCTGACTTCTGCATCTTACGATTGCGACCGAGGAAGGAACACGTCTCGGCCTCTTGGGTTCTCAAACTTGAAGACAAGGCTACTATTCTTACGAATTTCACGAATCGTCGTCGTCGGATTCGGTCACAGTGATGTTATTCGTCAAAGTAAACTCACGCCGAATCGACACCAAAGTGTAAGGGCACAAATACTTAAAGCGAATATAAGTCTTAATAGTGAATGTGGTTCGGTTGTCTGAATGCCGAACTCCAAATCCCACTTGAGAGTATCCAATCATAAAATAACTCAGCGTGCAATGCGCCGAGCTCAGTAAACTGTAACACCTCACTTCGCCGAGAAGGCTAATGAGATGACCTCAATCAATAAGGATTCGAAAATCCTTCTCGACCGAGACTTGGATAGGTAACCAACCATCATCGCCGCAGTGCTGTTGATGCCAACGGAAGATGCTGCGAGACCGGCTGATTCTACGGCGACAAAGCTATCTATGCCGACTTAAGATATCACTGGTTGCTTTCACAATGCTGTTGGTGCCAACGAAAGATGTGTCAGCGAAAAGAGAAAATAAAAATCTCAAAGTTGTTGAGAGAGTTTGCGCAGGGCAGTTGTGTGTTGAATTGGAGGAGCATTGAATGATGTACAGCTTCCTCTATTTATAGCACCGGATACCTTCAAGGTCGAGTTAAAACTTTACCCGGATTAGGATTTCTTCTCCTGATCAAACACCAACTCGACCAGTCCTATTTTCACTATAATTGTGAACCTAGTCTTTTATTAAGCCGGATTCACTTCCGGGTTATTAATCTTACCGAGACTCCTCATTGCACCAGGATTCGACTCGTCTTGTAGCATGACTTAACCGACCCAGGTTTGGAAGCCCACGACCTAACCGATCCAGAACTAAACGATCCCTGATAACCCTGTCGTAAGGCCTTTTGGGCCGAGAATAATTCTATACTCGGCCCAAACTGATATTTTGGGCCCAAACATTGCCCCCTCGCTTTTGAGGTTCTCGGCCTGAATCCTCTGGTCGTGCTCTGACCTTGAAGAAGCGAAATTAACGCGCAAAATCCAAATACTCTATTTCCAAGGCACATTTATTGAGGACGATTGCACGATCTTCATCCTGCTAACCAATACACCACGTGGCATCCTTTTATACGGCTAATCCCTAATAATGACGTTTAAAGTGTGCGGTTCCCTGAACCGTCATACCATCATGACCTTGTTCCTGAACACAACCATGCCACCTCGATCTGTGAACCATTCAGCATCGTGCAGACGCCCAAAACGTCTTTCACCATAAATCTCACTGCCATACGCCATCGTTCATCCCCCGAAACACGAAACCCTCGGTCTTCTCAACTGGATTTTCTAAATGTTCATAATGATTAGCGAATTTCTCGGTCAATTTTGCCCTTCATTTTGAATTTCGAACGATTGCCCTTCCTTCCATCGTTCTATAAATACCGAAATTCTCTCATTTGTATTTTACGCTTTCAAATTTTCTGAAATTCTTGCCATCGCTCTCTGGTGCACTCTTTCCTTCCGGATCTTCGTCTTCAAATCTCCCAACCTAGAAAAACTCATTTCGTCTCGCATTCTTTTAATCCCCTTACAATGGCTTCCTTTATCTCCAAGCTTTCCAAGGATTGCGACCAATGTCAGAAAATTATTGATCAAAGTTCGATCAAAACCATACGGTTCGAAAGTGACATGAGCACCCCTTATCAAATCTTGGGTCATCTATTTAAAGCGGCAGTACCATCAACCATCACTGGGCTTCTCCAGAAGCACTGCTTGTCACCCTTGCTACAAGGGTTTGAATGGCCGAAGTGGGATGTGGCAAGGCCTCAAGGCTCTTGGCCCTTGACCATTACAACCTGGGCAGCCTGGGTCGTACGAATGAAAAAGCTCTTCGGCGAGCAATGGAAAGTCATCGGCATTTACGACGCCATTCACCTCTCGTCCATGGAGGTCAACCTGGATAAGGAGCTCCTCCTAGCGGCCTTATGCTTCTGGTGTTCGGCCACCAACACCATGGTCCTCCCTCTCGGCCCCATTGGCCCAACCATCCTTGATCTCACTGCCATCTTGGGGACTTCCCCGACTGGAATCCCAATTGACGCTGCCCTCTCTAGGTACCCGTCGAACCTTAACTTGAAGGCGCTCTTCGACAAACGGGCCATTGAGACGCTAAGCGGTGAAGGCCAAATACCCTCGAAAGAAGAGGTTCACAAGCTTCACAAGAACTTCTTCAACTATAACACCCTCTATCTCCATTTTGCCGGCCGAGGAGAAGAGGCTATGCGAGAAGGAGAACACGAGGCTTTCCTCTTCTATTGGTACAACAAATTTATCTGTTGTACCAAATCTAATAAGTGTCTGGTCGAGAATATGCCAGTGGTCGAAGCCCTAGCTAGTGGTCACACTCTAGCACTCAACCCGGCCATTCTTGCCCATCTCCTACGCTGCTTGGCCAAAACGACCCTAGATAAGGTCGATCCGTAGAAGAATGGTCCCCTTTGGGTCTTCCAACTCTGGCTGTAGGTTTACTTTGCTCATCTTCGGCCAACGATTGCCAATTTCTCGCCTAAGGAAACGCTCAACCCTCAGCTGGCTTTTCGGCCAATCCCCCCTCACCAAGCCGAAGAAGTGTTCAGATACTTTTTCACTCTTGATGACCTTTCTGATGATGAGTTCTTGATCTGTCGTCGTCGAGAATACCCTTCGTCGATCAGACTTCCTACATCAACGTGGGGTGCGAACGAAGATGCTGACCTTCGTCAATCCTGTGGGTCTTTCGTGCTTGCCCGCGACCTGCCTCTCGGCTGTGAGGGTCGCCGAGCGAGTTGGGAAGTGTATCATCTGAACTTCCTCGCTCGGCAGCTTGGCTACCTTCAAGGTTGCCCACCCCCCCTTCTCTCCTCACGGTCCGTCCTAAGCCGCGGACGCGAACCTGGCTCTTCAGAGAAGGAATGCAACGACGCCAAAAGAGAGTTCCAGGAGTGGTGCCAAAAATTTCATTTTCGCCCGGTCACGCCAGAACCTCTTTGCACTGACACTTTCGGTGATTGGTAGGAAAAGTATACTCAACAGTTTTTGGTGTTCCGGTCGAAACCGTTCTGAACAAAATCTTCGGTGATCGACATAAGAAGGCTCCTGCCCCCCAACCCCAAGGTAACAGTTTATTTCTACCTTTTTCCTTCAATTTTGAACTACTGATCGGCTTTGCTGATTTGCTTTTACTTTTCTAGGCAGTCGCCCATTGAAAAAGGTGGACGTGGTCGCTGCGGCTGCGACCGAGAAAAAATCGGTCGTTTCCAAAAGGGCTAAGACCGCTGTGCAGGCCGTGTTGAGCAAACGGCCTCGTCAAGAGGTCGAGCCGACCATCGAAGCTCCTCGGCCTGCCAAACAGGTCAAAAAGCTGGCGAAGAAAAAGGAACGGGAGATTCACGTTATCTCCAATCAAACTACGGGGGCGATGACTCCCAGTGTTTCCCCTTCTCCCCCCATCACCCAAGCTTTGGTTGAGAAACGGTCAATTCCAGCCGAAGAAACAGTCCAAGTAAGGCCTGTTTCTAAAGTCGGTAAACCAGTTGTTGTTCCACCGGTCGAGGCTGCACCCGTCCTGGAAGAGGGAGTTCTTGTGACCGAGGGAACTTATCCTGAAAATCCAAAACCCTCGACCTTCGTTCTGGAAGAGAGCGACGGGAGCGACGAGGTTCCACTGGCGAGTCGCTTTCGACCCCGCCGTCAACCTCCTCCTGTGTCCGAGGCGGTTGTCCAAGTCAGCCCTTCTACAGCTTACCGTGGCAAACAACCTGCCGGAGAGCCAGAAGTGGCGGTAGAAACGCCCGTTCATCCGCAGGACCAGGACCTCAATATTCCTCTGTATGAAGCCACTTCGGCCTTTGTAAGTACCCCCTACCGCCTTTCCTTGGTTATTTCTCTGCCATAGAACTCTAAACCAGGAAAATACTAAATGTCAAGTGCCTGTACACTCTTTTCATCGAACATTATATGCGCCGAAGGGTGTTATCTATATTTCTTGGCCGCCTCAGTGGCTGTCGAACGTAGATAACCTCTATCGGCCGCGTGAACTGAGAAGCAATCTAAGATATTGGGCTCGGCCATTAAGTTCTTTAGGTTCGAGCAACGATCCTGAAGACATGGCCGAAGTCTCCTCTCGGCAAGTTTAAAAAAAAACAAAACCTTCTTTCTACCTTTTTCGTGATTTCCTTGAGCTTAAACTGATTTTTGTGTGCAGGCTTCATGGGAAGTCAAGTTTAAAGCCCTTTTGTCCAGCACTACTGGAATGGTTGGTCCTTCGGCCACCACAACTGCAGCCGCTGATTCAACTGCTCTAGCTCGGTTGTAAGAGGTCTTATCTCTCTCGACGTCGCAAGTCC